GAGAAATAAGAAGAGATCTCTTCTTGATTCTAGAACTCCTAGATCCCTAGCCTAGAATAGGAATTCTGTACAATATTTATTATCATAGTTGAAATCTTACAGAGCCTTAGCAGATAATTTTCTAGTTTCTCTGTTCTGTTGTCCTGCTTTTGGGAGGCAGAGAACAGCTTTTTTGGGTAAATCACTATTCAACAATCATGAGTCGCTTGTGGTAATTAATATTAATAAACTTCAAAGATTCTTAAATTGAACAGTTTGGACTAATCAGTTGGTAACTAGAATCTGGCAGTAAGAAAGATGAGAAAGTGCTAACTGAACACATGCGGAGTCATCATTGGAGAGTCAACCAACTTACTAACTAACTAACTATGGAGTTATACAAAGTTACAAAGGTTTAATAATTATAGTTGTGTTACGGACAATTAAACTTAGAGTCCTTAGAGGTTTAATAATAACTAAGTAAATATGAATAAGAAAGTTACAAAGGTTAATATCTCGGAAGTTTGAGCGATCACATCACTTCGCCAGATGTGGGCCTGTTGATTGAAACTAATAAATTGAGAAGTTAAGATTTATGGAACTATCTTACACCTCATTATCATAAATAATACTAGTAAGGCTTAATTGGTGTAAGAGAAAATCTAAGTATTTATGTATTTAGCGGGACAAATGGTGGGGGCTAACGTCAATCAATTTAAGTGACATTAACATTTTAAAAAATATATATTTTATTAAAAAATTAATTGTATTTCTATTGATTTTATTTCTTTTGAATTCTAATAAGTAAGCAATATAATTCAATTTTTTTTTTTTGGATAAAATGAGTTTCATTTTTTTTTTTGAATTTATTGTTTTAATTATTTATAGTGCACTCGTTACTGTCAATTATGCCAATCATCGTTTTAAATTGCTTATACTAACGACAATACATACAATAATTTAAATTATTATTACTATTTTTTCCTTATGCGTACAATTAGCGGAAATTAAGCAGACGTTGTACTTAACTCTTTAAAATTGCTGGAGCGCTCGCTGTTGAGAGTTGAATAACCTGCATATTTTCCATACATTTTTTTCTTGGTATTAAATTTGGTAATTACTTTCGAAGAAATATGCAAGGAAAAAAATGTACATAATAATGCCAAAATGCCAAAATAATAATATTTTACAAAAACTCATGTGAAAAACAATCAATCATTTTGCATATTACCGCAATATTTTACCATTTTTACCATTAAACCTACAAACTTACTAAAACTGCTATCGAAGTTACTAACTGGCGAACGCAGCTGTTGTTGACTATAAGCACTGAGTTGTTAGCCACTGTTTGGTAGAAACCTCTGGCAGATATGCCACAAACGGTCTGCTCAGCTAACACATATGTATCTCTTTACCTAAATTGAAAAGTACTTAAAAACTTTATTCATTCTTAATTTATTTATTTTATCTAAAAGCTCTCATTCTTTCCTTCAAATATAATTTCAATAAATTATATTTATTGTATGCAAGCAAATATCTTATATGAAAAAAAAAAAATTTATTTAATTGATTTTAATTGAATTTAATTTTAAATATAATTAATTTTAATATAATTGATTTTAATTTAATTTAATTTTAATTTCATTATTATTAATTTAACCTGATTTTTATTTAATTAATTTTAATTTAATTAATTTTAATTTAATTTGAGTTTAATTTGATTTAATTAAATTAATTTTAATTGAGTTAATTTTAATTTAATTAATTTTAATATGATTGATTTTAATTTTATAAATTTTAATTTTATTATTTTTAATTTAACTTGATTTTAATTTAACTAAATTTAATTTAGTATGATTTTAATGTAATCATTTTAATTTAAATAATTTTAATTAAGTCAATTTTAATTTAAATTTCTTAAAATTTAATTAATTCTAGTTTAATTAATTTAAATTTAATTAATCTTAATTTAATTCGTCTTAATTTTATCGATTTAAATTAAGTTAATTAAAATTTTATTTATTTTAATTTAATTTAATTTAATTTATTTCATTTTAATTTAATTTAATTTAATTAATTTTGATTTTATTAATTTTAATTCAAGTAAACTGAATTTAATTAATTTTAATTTAATTAATTTTAATATAATTGATATTAATTTAATAAATTTTAATTTAAATACTTTTAATATAATTTATTTTAATTTAATTTGATTTACATTTAAGTTTATTTTAATTTAATTTGATTTTGATTTAATTTGTTTTTAACTTAATTTTTTTTAAATTTAATTAATTTTAATTAAATTAATTTGAATTTAATTAATTTTAATTTATTTAATTTTAATTAAACTATTTTTAGTTTAATTAATAATAAATTTAAGTAATTTTAAATGAATCTATTGTAATTAAATTAATTCAAACTTCTTCATTTTTATTTAAATTAAATTTATTTAATATAATATATTAAAAAGTATGGGTCTTAATATAATTTCTTGTCATCAATTAAACTCGTTAGTATAAAGATACTTTCATAGCAACTAACACATAGTATATTTTTTATTAATGACAGTTGTAATATATGTTATTCAGATGCATTCTGCTAAAAACAATACTTTGAGCTTAAGTCGAATTGGGTAAGATGAGGTCTCTTAGCTCTCTAACAGATTTAACTTTCATAGAATCTGCAGGCTTTGTTACTACTATATAACATCGTACCTTAATTATTCACAAATTGTGGAACCTCTCCAAGGTACTAGCAAAGTTCTTGATATTTTTGATATTAGCGCTAAATATTTAAGTCCAATTAACCAACTCAATACCTACAGAATTGTTATTGTTTTGCTATCACCACTTAACCTTACTAATTCCTTAGTATAAGGAATAAGGTAAGGTTCATTAGTTGTTTAGCAAGGTACCTTATTAGTTCTTTAGTAAGCGACCTTATGAGTTCCTCATTAAGATATCTTATTAGTTCCTTAGTGAGATATCTTATTAGGTCCTTAGTAATGTGTCTTAATAGTTACTTGTACTTTCTTGTTCGCTAAGTACGGAATCATTACGAAATCTCATGAAAGCGCAGAATATATTTTTCTAAACTTTTAATATTTTTTTAATACTTCAGCGAGAGAGAAAAAGACATAACCGCCTAATAAGTTCACTATGTTCTGGCTAATTGATTGACTTCAGTAGAGGTTTGAAGAGACGGAGTAGATCTCTTGATCTGTTCATATTAATTTTTGGTCACATAAACTTTAATATCCGATAAACACTTTCCTTTTATCACGATGAATTAGTCTTTTTAAGAATATCATTTTTCTATAAAAATTTATAAGTTGCAATCTTTTGTATACGTTAAGTGGGATATTAGTCCTATAATTTTACTTCATATCGTTATTTTCCGGAAACCACATTTGATATATCTTGAAAATGGAGTAGAAACAGTAACAGTAAAAAACGATTTAAATACGAAAGACAAATTATATTTCAAAATTTTTATCATCGAATTGTATTGTATGGTGTTTAATAATGAGATGAAAACGATTCTGGGTTCCTTTCCCATATCAAATTTAAAGTAATTATAACATAACCCAACTATTGAACAAAAAGACTAAACACATTTCTTCTATATTATTATATCCTTTGATTTGATGATCGCCGACTTTATTTATATAGTCAATTTTAAAGTATTTTTAAAGTACTATTTTGAAGTGTTATTCTATAGTACTGCATTAAAGCACTATTTTAAAGTAGTGATTCAGAGTACTGTTTTCACGTACTATTTTAAAGTTTATTTATTCTAGTTTAGTTCCAATCTGTCTGCTTAAGTAGACAACTAATTCTTTGATTGTGAATACTTGAGCATTATGAATACTACAGCAGTCAGGACGTATAGACTATTCAATTCTTAAGTCCTTTGAGAAAACCACAAAGGCTGGGTAAGCAGTATGATACCTTGATTGCTAATATCGCAGCTTTATAAACATAACAGTAGTTAAGAAGATGTATAATCAGTTTTAATCTTCACTTCTTTGAGAAGACTCCAAAGTCAGGTTAAGTAGATATGATTCTAATATTTCTACATGAAAAACACTACAGTAGTCAGGAATGTGGTTTTGAATTTAATTCTACGGAATTAATTAAATCGATAGCCATTTATCGTGTATTGGTAATATTATGTCTGTTGAGGTAGACATCTTCTTTTTCGATTATTAATATTTTTACCTTATCTTTACCATAACACTAGTCAAGGAAACGAACAAATAATTCCAATATATGTCCTTTGAAAAGACTCCAAAGTCTGTTTAAGCAAACATCTACTAATTTGATTCGTAATGCCTTTGCCCAATAAATGTTACAGTATCAGTTAGTGGCTAAGTCGCGTGATGGTAATATGATCCTATATAGGTTTGGTTGTCATACATTATGTTAATGATAAAAAATACCAACAAAGAAATAAGAATTTAAAAAATATTTATGGTCTTATTAGGTAGTGGTTATATATATTAGCGGTAGTGGTTAGTACTTTAGAAGTATAAGCATTTGTTTAGACCTAAATGGAATGGTAGTATATAAGTCTTTGGCAAAACTTTTTCGTCTTTAATCCTCGATCCATACTTCTAATTACGATGTAAAACCAATGAGTAAATAGGTTTAGGTTTTAGTTTATATGTGGCATAAATTGGTGAGGTATTATACATATTCTTTATGTTCATATTAATTTATATAAGCGTTTGTGTTTATATGGTTAGGTTAATAGGTGTTTATATTACATTTTTAAAGCTTAATTTTTTTTCTTTACTATTAAATTATTTTAAAGTTTCCGATAGTTCATATCGTGTTAAGGAAGTCAACAGTATTTAGCTCAGTTCAGGGTTTAATCTCATATGCAATTTCCAAACTAAATACCATGTTAAAGAATTGGATGGTATTATATCGTCTACAAAAAAGTGAACGGCTTGAGTTTTCGTATAAAGAAATAAAAGAAATAAATTTTTTTTTTTAAAAATGGTACAAAAAATTTTTATTAATATTAATATTCAATCTATATCATATCAAATCTATATTATAATTTTGCCTAAATCCTATTCATTTTCAGTGGCGTAATTAGTAACCATAATATCCTTGTAATCCAAGAATTTGTGGAACAGGGAAAGCGTAAACTGGATAATTATGTGAGTAGCCACCAGCTGAACCACCGCCATAACCACCGGAGGAACCACCAGATGAACCACCGGATGAGCCACCAGACGAACCACCATATCCACCTGATTTTCCACCAGCAGAATCTTCGGATTCACCACCGGATGAGCCACCATAACCACCACGTGGAGCACCAACATAGCCACCGGATGAACCACCATAACCGCCAGATGAGCCACCAGATGAACCACCATAACCGCCACTCGAACCACGATGCGAACCGCCAGATGAACCACCATAACCGCCGGATGATTGTGGTGAGCAAGGTGCAGAAGCCAAACTGGGTTGACAGCTAATAATGTAGTTCTTGGGGCATGGAGGTGCAGGTATAGAAACACTGTTAGATGAACCACCGCCATAGGATGAGCCACCACCATAAGATGAACCTCCAGATTTAGATGAGCCGCCACCATAAGAGGCACCAACTATCATTGTTGGCATTGGCATTGGCATGTCGTCAGCATAGGCTGCTACGGCAAACAGCGCACAAACGGAAATAGCGATAAACGATTTCATCTTAGATCCTTAACGTCTTTATCCTCTTTATCGTAATATATAAAAAGTTGATTTTTTTGTTTGTTACACCTGCACTCCACACTTCACAAACGAAAACTGTTTGATATCCACTGAGTTTCCACGAATTATAAAGGCTAATTATGTTTAATTGGCAAATTTTATTAACTAAAAACGATACAAAAAAAAGCGAAAAAATTAATTTTAATTAATTATTATTTGCATAAATTCAATTAATGCACTTACTTCACTTTTAAATATTTTATTTTGCAATTTTTGTAAACTTCGAAAAATATATTCTTGCAGATTTATTGATACTACTTCTTCCCCACCAAGGTAATTGCCATAAAATTGGAGCAAAAATTATGCGTGTTGGCTTATAAAACCTATTTAGTTGTAGATGTAATATAATACAATTTTTTATTATTTTTTTTATTGATGTTTACATAAACTTAAATTTAGTAAAACAATTTTTTACAATTGCTTAAAAAATCACAATTTTTTATGATTTATAAATTTTAAAAACTTTTAAAAAAATTGAACGTAGTATAGTTATTATGCCTATATATTTTATTATTTAATTGTTCCGTCATCGGAATGGTGTGCCCGTTTCCCTAACACAAATTCAAATCTAGTACACAGACTAAAATACCGTCCTCTTCGGAAAGACTTATTGCCCCTCGGAACCGCTTTCACTTTACTTTGAGGAGCGTCACGTTCATGTTGATATTTTAAGCCATGCTCTTGTGATTTTCGATATGGGTCCAGACTTCCACTCTACTTTTTTGATGTTTGCACAGTTGCACTTAAAGGTTTCTTAAACTGGAACTAAATTAGTCTCTAATAATTCATAATAATCCTTAAAACTATATATTGACATAACACATCGGTCATCTTTTTTTAAAGCATTGTTATATGGTTTCAAGTTGAAATTGTTAGAATAAAATGAATTAGAAATACATTATGGGTTTAAACAATTTCATTAAAATTAACTCAAATCTGAAGTTTAGCTGTAAGAAGTTACCAATTTCCAGATCTCGATTTAACAGTTCGGTTTTAGTAATATACGCTTAATAAAACCATCATCAAAGGCATTTTACGCTTACTCTAAGGTTTGCCATTTTTTAATATAGTTCCTTCAACTACCGCTTAACTATCGAATGACACATTTTCCAGTGAAGCAGTTCAGTTTTTGAATGATAGATATGTCAACAACCTATCATCTTTCATTCATACATTCATAAAATTGCGCTTTGTATAACATATAGTCTGGGAATGTGAGAGACCCATATGCTTTGAAATAGTGAAATAGGTTTTTTGTACATAGTACACAAATGTGGTACCTGAGTATAGATATGTTTTAAAAATTAACTTAGTTCTAATTTCTTTTAGAATCAAATAGTGATCACTCTACTAATATTGCTGCTTTTTTGCTATATAGCTTAAGAGTATATAGTCATTGGATAAATTTTAGGGAGGAAGGTGTAGTCTCTCAGGAACCGTCCTTTGATTTCATGCCTGATATTTATAATGGATAACATCTACATATTCGTTCTATTACATTTCATTTATTCATTTTGTTATTCCATTTATTTACATTTATTAAATACAAATGTTAAGATTTTCGGATTATATATTATATTAAACATCCATATATATTTTATGGCCAAATAAATGGGAATGGATCGAGTAGATGTTGTAGAATATTATATCATCCTTATTACTATTTATTATAGTTATTATATAGATAACTTAGGCTGGAAATTCAAAACTTAATATAAATTGAAATCTGATGATATATTTAATGAAACATAATCTATTGTAATATATTAGGGTTTTACTTTAGGGTTAACTAGAGATAGAGACAACAACCATTAGTAAATATAAATACTGTTCAATGACGTGATGTTGTTTTGTTTTTTAAGCGGAGAGGTTTAAAAATATTTAACGCATCACGTTTCACAATAGTGGTATGCCCGGTTTGCATGGACTAAAAATAATCCCCCTCCCAAAACTTTAACGGAAATACTTCAAGGTAGGGTCACTATGTTGGTTATTCATTAAAAATTTTTATCGTTAACCTTCATTTGAAAATTTCTTCTGGAATTAAAAATTTTCTTACTATTGTCACCCTTTTCCATTTAAAATAGATGTTTAGTAATAGAGAAAATTTTAATAGAAGACATTTGTCTCACTCTATTTAAAAATTCTTTGAAGTTTGCATGTTTTGGGTTATCTATTCCATATAATTACAGATTATAATAATAAAAATTTATTTCTGATTGAAATTGTACACATTTCGATTACTTCTACTACTACCCAGTACTTACTTCCACTTGGATTATAGAAATTCTTTAAGTATAAAAACCGATTTTTGTTATATCAAATAATATTATCAAACAATTTATTTAGTCACTTATTAAATGTTTACCAAAAAATATTGAAACATCAAATAATTGAGATAGGAAAACATATTATAGAACTATAAGAAGATCTTCATAAAATTATATTAATTCAATTTTTCCAAAAAAAATTATTTACTTTAAAAATAGTTATGTTAATTAACACATATTTTATTAACTCAGTTCTCTTATTACAATTTCTATTATATTATAAAAATACATACATCCACACTGTTTATATATATTAAATTTTATATATATGGTTATATATATTAAATTTTAATTTCAAACGCATTGCTGATAAAATATATTGTTAGTTATTCTAAGGTTAGATTTTGTTCCCAAGTACTGCTAGAGTCCTGACCTATCCATGAATGTAATAATTACTATGCCTTTCGTCAGTGGTAGGGCAGTCACTCAGAAGTCATTCATCACATTAAGCTATCTTGAAAAATGTATGTTCTTCTATATGAACGATGTGAGACTCCTGATTAATTAAATATGGTAGACAAAATTTCTAGAAGTTATAATATCTTTACTTCTCACAAGATATCGATCAACGCCATAGTGTAGAACTCTTTAACAAATTAACATTGAATACATTCTGTACATACTATTATACATATAGTGTACTATATCACTTGATTCGTTTGCGTAGAGTTACTTCTAAACCGGATGTCAGATATTATGTATTTATATATGTATATATGTATATAATATATATATATTTTATATAAAATATGAAATTTCCTTGAATAGCAGTTGTTGAGGACGTTTTGAATTTATGTTCCTTAGAAAGAGGTTCTCATTTCTGTACCATAAACAATTTTCGAAAATTTTCATTGAAGTAGATTTTTCTTCATTAGCACTGAAATAAATTCAGGAGTTCAAAATACATAATATTATATGTATGTAAATTTCTTATAAACTTACCACTGATAAAAATATAACTGAAGTAGTTCTAAATGGTTAGCCGTAGAAAACTGTTAAAAATTGGTGAGATATAGAAATATTTTTGCTATTAAAAAAACTTTAGAAGTAAATATTATATTTATATATTGTATGAAATATATATAGTATATATAATAGACCAAATATTATAATCCAATAAGAGTTACAAAATTATGCAAAATACATTCATCAACAAAATCTAATATTTGTTTAAACTGAGATGTGAATTTAGTCGGTAATAGATCGACATATATAAAAAGATTAAATTAATTTAAAAACAAGTTATTATAATTTAAAAAACAAAATGTGTGATAAATATTATTTAGGAAGATCATTATGTATATACTGGCTCATAGATAATTATAACATTATTTACACGGGATCTCTATGTATACATTAAGACTGAAAAGTTTTCGGAAATTCTCATTTAAAATTCGCGCGCTGTATATTTTTCGATATTTTAAGTTTATGTAGTTTGGCAGCACTGTCCTTAATTACTATGCCAAAAATGAGCGCGATCTGTCAGACAGTTCGTTTACGGCAGCTGTTGAAACCAGTTCCCCTCAGTAGTGCGTTGCGAAATGTCTTCGACGGTCGTACGACCGTCCTGAAAGGCTTTGTACCACTCATAAACTTGAGTTTTCGATAAAACTGATTCCCCATAAGCCTTTTGTAGCATTCGCAACGATTCTGCACACGAAATTTCGTTCGAAACACAAAATTTGATGCAAACTCTTTGTCCAATATTTTTTTCCATTGTTTTTTTCGCAACGCACTACTGAGGTGAACTGGTTTCAACAGCTGCCGTAAACGAACTGTCTGACAGATCGCGCTCATTTTTTGCATAGTAATTTTCCTTAATTGCTGCCAAACTACATAAACTTAAAATATCGAAAAATATACAGCGCGCGAATTTTAAATGAGAATTTCCGAAAACTTTTCGGTCTTAATGTATATTGCGTTATACATAAACCAATAGTGAGATACGAGTTATTTCAACCGTAGCTCGAAAACCCTTTCAGATAGACAAACAATTTATTTAGTTACATCAGATTCAATTAACTTTTAAAAAAAAAATATTGCGTGGATCTGGTACCAAACCAAAATGAGTTAATGATTGTTAGTGTCGTCCAATTTCAGATTGGTTAACGGAACATAATATAATATTACAAAATAACATTATATAGTATTTTTGAGGATTTGTATATTATTTACAGTTGTCTATTAAAAGTAAGCTATTCATTATAATATGACCCTCAATTTCCATTGATATCGCTCGATTATTTAGAAGTTTTATTAAATATTGTAGATATTTTCTCTCATTAGGTAAGTTGGAATATAAATAAATTCTGAAAGTGAAAAACAATTATTTAGTTAAATATATTTAAATTTATAAATAATTCACATACCAATATTTGTATTTCTCTATAATCTTCATATGCAGACTTTCATATACTTCAAGGGCTTCTGAACTAAGCTGGGATGATATACCAAAGAAGATAGTGAAAATTTCACATTATCAATACCTATGTAATATTATTCATCTTGATAATATTATTGGATCTAGTTTTTGACAATTATATGTTTATATATATGTAGTATATATTAAGTAAATAATGTTTTACTTACAGTTTTTTTTAAATGCAATTCTTGAGCTACTGTTGGAATGATAGAAATCGGTTGAATACGCCTTATATATGCCAATGCCGTTGATTAGTCGAGACTGGGTACTTTCACTGAAAATAAAATATGTAAGTTTAATATTACAGAATAAAATAAATAAAGGACGTTGATATATGAATTATATTGATTAGTCTAGTATTTAAAGTGATTTCAATAAAATCGTTGTTTTTAATTATAAAACTTATATGAAAATCATAAATATATGCTTTCATTTAATTTACTATTTAGTAAATTTATAAAAAAAAGTATTTAAGTAATTCATAAGTTTTTTAATTAATTAAATATTTTTTACATTCATTAAATTTAACAGAACACATATGATAAAGTTTTTTGAAATATTTAATTATTTTTATGCTTTTCAATATATAATAATATTGATATACCACAATTTTTGATATTTTTTATATTATATTTCATATATAATATTACTTATATGGTATTTATAAATTATTTTTAAATTTTTGTAATATGCATATATTGTATTTAAATTTTTTTATTTTTTTTTTGTACTTATATTAATATTTACATTTTATGTATTTTAAATTATTTATACTTTAGTGTTTATAAAATTTGTAGTATTTATGTATTATTTTATTTATATTTATATAGTTATAATTACTAATCTAATTGTTATAATTGTATAATTATAATGTGCATTATTAATTATAATTAATAATATAATTATTCGAAATAAATATTGATATTTATAATTTATATAGATTTATGTTATATATTTTTTTATACAATATATTTTATATATTCATTTTTTTGTTTCCTGTTTTTTACTATTATTATTAAAAAAATTAAAGCTTATTATTTTGTTCTCGAATTTTGAAAATGAATTATTATATACACTTTTTTTCTTAAAATTTTTTATATAATTTTTTTTTATATTTATATATTATTATTATTTAAGTTTTGTATAATATATATATCACATTCACTTGTACTTTTCTTCAATTGAAATAGATTTTCACATTATAAATTTACTTAAGATTTTATATTATTGTTTTATATTATTTTATTTTTATTATTGTTTTTATTTTTTTGTATATATATGGGTTTTTATGTATCGAACTTTTTAATATTTTTTTTATTCCTATTTATTAAATTTTATAATAATTATATTTTAATTTTTATAAATTTTGTACGGTTTTTGTATTGTATTTATTGTTTTTTACATTTTTTTACATTATTACTTTTATTGTTTTTTATAGATACTGATATTTATATTTTTTATAATTAAATTTTATTATTTGTATAATTTAGTAGAATTTACTTACTTATATATACTTACTTTTTTTGTATATATATACATATATTGATTTTTATACGTCGCATTTTTTTAATATTTTTATTATTATTAGTATTTATTAAGTTTTGTATTATTCATATTCATATTCATATTCATAATAATAATTATTTATGAAATCTTTCATTGTTTATGTACAATTATATATTTTTTATATTTTAGGTATTTTAAATATTATATATTATAGTATTTTAATTATATTATATGTTATTTTGTTAATTTTTTATTATATACTTTATATTTAATTTTGGTAAATATATTGGTTTTAATGTTATTTTGTTTATTTTTATATTATATTTTGTATTATTTATATTTAATTATTTAAAAACATTTTTAGTACTCATATATAATATTTTATTGTTTTTATTTTTACATTGTTTATTTATTTATTATTTATTCATTGATAAATATTTTAGCGTCATTTCACACTATTAGTCATATTTATAAACATTAACGTGGTATTAATTATGTGGTTTAATTTAAATTAATATATTAATAATATTAATTATATTTATATATAATATATATATATATATATATATATATATATATATATATATATATATATATATATATAAATACAATGTAATTCAAATTAATTTTAAAAGTAATATATTAAATATTTGTTTTATGTTCACATAATAAATATTTATATATTTTTTATTTATTTTTATACACGTTGTACTTATTAATTGTTATATCTGTTGTATATAATTATTTTGATTTTTAAAAAAATTGCAGTTAATTACTTGATGTTAAAGAAAAATCATTTAAATATAAGTTAATTTTTATACTTTATATTTGATCCCAAATCGAAATCGAAGTATGAGTATGAGATACACTCATATCCTTATATTAATCCTTTTGTGATACTTGCAGTTATTTAGAAGCAATATATTGTATTCATAGAAACGATATCACTGAAGCAAAACATAATTATGTAGTGTGTTCTTATCACTTTATATATATTCAAAATAATACACATATTTTTTCTTATAAAAAATTCATGTATAAAAATTTTTATTATGATTAAAAGTTCACAAACAATTGTCATAAGTTTTTGCCTAAATCCTATTGGTTGCATGCAATGCATTTAGTAGCCGCGGTATCCTTGAAGTCCATAATATTGTTGCATAGGTAAAGCATAAACTGGATAGTTTTGTGAATAAGCACCGGCTGAACCATAACCACCGGATGAGCCACCAGATGAGCCACCAGATGAACCACCATAACCACCGGATGAGCCACCGGAAGAACCGCCATAACCACCGGATGAGCCACCGGATGAACCGCCATAGCCGCCATGTGAGTGAGATGATTGTGGTGAGCATGGAGCTGAAGCTAAATTGGGCTGGCAGCTAATAATGTAGTTCTTAGCACATGGTGGAGCAGGTATAGATACACTGTTCGAATGTGCTGGAGCAGAACCACCGCCATAGGATGAGCCGCCACCGTAGGAAGAGCCTCCTGATGGAGCTGAACCACCGCCATAAGCTGAACCAAGCATAGCTGGCATTGGCATATCATCAGCGCCAACTGCAACGGCGAAGAGCACACAAACGGCAACAGCGACAAACGATTTCATCTTGAGAGTATCTGAGATATAAATTACGCTGCTTCGTAACAAAAAGTGAAAATACTAAATGCTTTTCTGAGGTAAGTCTATGCTTAACACTTCTCAAATGAAAACTGTTTGATATTTGCCAAAATTCGTTGGATTATAAAGGCGATTTTTGTTTAATTGACAATTTTTTTATAAAGTAAAGTGGAGAGTAAAATAATTAATGAAAAGTATCTACACTTCATAGATACACACACACACACACATATATATATACAAACACATAGTCGTGCTTATTTAAATGTTCATATTCTCGACTTTTTTTGTTAAGTTCCAATTTTTATTTTATTTTAGGTTGCAAAAAAAAAAAAAAAATTATAAATATGAAAAAAAAAAAATTAAAAAAAATAAATGAAAAAAAAATTATAAATTATATTGAAAATAAAATTATTGCTATTGAAGCAAAATGTTTTTTTAGTGCTTTTATTTGCAATTTTGGCGTTAAACACTTCTGGCTTTTGTTAGCAATTTTGCAGTGTTGCTGTTGCTGTTGCCGGTCGCCGGTCGCTGGTCTTTGTTGCTTGTTGTTTGCAATTTGTTTTTTGTTGTAAAAGTTATTGTTGGTTGTCATCAATGCACCAGAAACATTTGCAAATTGCGAATTATTTGCCATTGTCGATTTTAATCTTTTGCTGAATCTACGAAACGATATTGTTGCTAAGTTCTATGCTCTCGTTTTGCGCTACATAACAACAAAAAAAAAAAAGAAAAAAAAACTCTTTTTGTCATAATCACATAATGCGAAGAGGAAAAATTCTACTGCATTAAAGTATCTGCAATCATTAAATGACAGATGTACATATGTACATATGCATATACACACAAGCATTTTCATATCTTATTAGTCAAAGTGAACTGATTTACCAACAGGCGTTCTTCGTCTTTTTTGTTCTGAACCTAAGCCCTCTTCTATTACATTGTGGTAATTTATTACTCGGATTACCTTTGCCTTGTAATTAATAATTATGATGTTTGCAAACAAATTTGTGATAATTACCTTGACTGAGTTTTTGTTCCCGGGTTTGCACTACAAGTAACCAGAGCTGCATAACCATGTACCTAATTGCAAAGAATTTTCATTCACAACTTCCAGTTAGCGTTTAATAAATTTTGTCTATTATTCAAAATTTAAACCTAAGTAGAAAAAAACTTCATTCTATTCACCTTAGCATAGTTCTTGAAATTATTATGGGTCTGTTTTTTTTTTTATTTAGCAAAAGCAAGTATAGACAAGTTTAATGAAGACGGTACTATACTGCCGTGACGCGACAGTATAGTTCTGATGCGCTCTAAAAGTTTTCCCAGTTTTCCCAGTGCGAACTATCATTTTAACTGCACAAAAGTTTGTTATGGGTGTGCTAGGATTAAGGGGACGAAGAAAATTTAATAATTGAAGGATGGTCATGAATGAAATAATGCCTTTGAATTCTGTTGGAACAATCTATACATTTCCGAGATTGGACGGAAAAGTCTCTGATGTCGCACTCAGCTTGTATTCTATTTTCTTTCAATATCGGTGGATCATTTTAGATTGCAACCTTGAATTTTTGGAATAAATTTCTACATGGTTTATTTCTTTACGAATAAAAAAAGGAAGAAGAATCAAAAAATAAGATATAAACGAAGAAATAGATGTGAATATAGAAATAAAAGTAGAAGCAAAATTAGAATAAGAGATAGAAGTAAAGTTTTAAGTCAAAATAGAAGAAAAAATAATAAAAGAAGTAGATAAAATAAAAGTAGTAGAGTTTGAAGTTGAGAAAGAAGAGAGTAGAAGTTGAAGTAAAAGGAGTTGCAACATAGAAGTAGAAATAGGAGTAAAAGTAGAATCAAAGAAGTTGAAATAGAATTCGAAGTGGAAGAAAAAATCGAAATAAAAGCTAAAGTAGAATTTGAAATAGAAGCTGAAATAGTAGAAGTTGTAGAAGAAAGACTGAAAATAGATTAAAAGTTGAAGTAGAATTCAAAATGGAAGTAGAGGTTGAAATAAAAGGTCAAGAAAGCAAAAATAGAAATAAAAAAAGAAGTGAAAGCAAGATAGGAAAACGAATTAAGTGCAGAGATTGAAGTAGTTGTAGAAGTAGAAGAAGAAGAAATATTAGATGTAGAAGCAGAATTAAAACAAGAGTCAGAAATTGAAGCAAAAGTAGAAGTTGAAATTAAAGAAAAGTTAAAAGAAATAGTAGTTGTAAAGGAAGAGATTGAGGTTGAAATAGAATTTGAAGTAGAAAAGAAGTAGCAGAAATGGAAATAGAAGTCAAAGTCCAAAAGAATTGGACGTAGAAGTATAAGCAGATTAAGAAAATGATATGAAAGTACAGAAAAAAAGAAAAAAAAAATAAAAAAGAGTTAAGTTAACAAAAAAAAAAAAAAGGAATTAGAAAAAGAAGTAGAAGTAGAAAGAAGATGAAGTAGTAGAGAAAAAATAATTAGAAAGAAATGAAGCGCTTGATTTGATTTCTATTAATTTGTTTGTTATATATCTGTTAGTATATTTAACTATTTATTTGTAATAGTAATAGTTATATTTGCTATAATATTAGGAAATTTAATAGGAAGTTTGCACGAAAACTTTTTATGAAGTTAAGTACATGAGGTTTAAATAAGTTTACAATGGTTTCACTTTATCATATATATAAAATACAGAATTAGTATTTAAAAGTAAGCGCTATTCAGAAAAAAAATGTGTTTGATTTGACATTACACAATGTTCATTAACAAAGTTACTAATATAAAGGATGTTGAAGATAGTTTCTAGTTTGTTTTTTCTATTTTTCAGTCCGCGTTACCATTTTAAATGTAATAAATTATTGCAAAGTTCTTTTTTACAATCAATTTAAGAACCATTTCAACAATAAATTATTTCATAATAATTTTATTTGGCGAAGGTGCGCTGACTCTGAGCTTTACATTTGGCTGGGCACGCGTTAAATACCTGGCTTTTGCAGTCTGAAAAAAATTTTTTACTAATAAATAAACACAAGAATTATTTCTGAGACCACTGATGATGTGTATTTGGCAATTCTCGAAACAGCTATATGGTCAGCCAAAAATTCAATTAATTAAAATAATATAAAATAAATTTCTGTTGTTGTAGTTCACTACTGTTCGAAAAAAATTCGAAAAAACTACTGTTCGAAAAAAATTCGAAAATAATTTTATAATATAGGTTAATATAAACAATTAATCTCTACTCAGAGCTCTTTCCAGTAAGTACTCTCACAATAATTTCAACAGCAAATAATTTTGCCATGTACTTAAAAGTTTATATTAAAAAGTATTCACTTAATTTAAATATTTTGTTTGGTATATATATACATTATTCTAAAAAATTATTAATACTAAAATTCATTAAAAAAGTCTATTGTAGCATTTTTAAGTTCTTAAATTTTTTTACTTTTCTGTTACAATTTTTTTTAATATTCTAATAATACTGCACAGTTTCTGGAAACTTTTTTTTTACACATTGATTTCCGTTCTACTTGAGATATATTTTTTATACACCTGTTCATATATATATATAAATATTACACTTTAGTCATGCTGACGTGACTTACTGCCGTGTCTCAAAATAAAACTGAGAATTGTGATTTGACGGTCTGCATAACATACATTCAAGATCATGACCAAATAAGGCATCAAATGAAAATTTATTTATTGGTCATGTGTGGGCATAACTGGATCGTAAGTAATATTTTTATGACATGGTTTTGTGATGAATATGATTTTAATTGCCATTTTATGTTGTCAAATTTAAAAATTATTTGGATGTGATTTTTATATCATCCATTTCCGTTAAATTTAGAATAAGGAACAATAAGAACTATATTAAATATATTTATATAGATTTTAACTTGAGTTCTATACCAATACTTGTATTATTTAGTAAATAAAATAATAAGATTAAATAATAACGCCACTGTTGTTTTCAATGAACTGGATGTTGCAGACCGCGGCAGACCTTTGATTTTTCTTTAAGGAGTTCTTGAGTTATACGAAGAGGATTGTAGAAGGTTATACCATTATAGAGTATAATTATCTAGAGCTGAATCATTAAATTAACGTGAAATTCATTTTTATTGACAACATTTCTGAGATCGTGATTCGGGGGTTATCAGTTTTAAACTTGTCTTGAGAAGTCGTCAAATAAGAGTGGCTGAAATTATTGGAGAGTGGAGAATGAAGGTGATAGCTTGTAATATATTTGATAAAGAAAAATATAAGGATTGGATTTAATATTGTCTACTATCAATTATATTGTAAAAATGTTTTTTGAATTTCGCACAGAGTTCAGTGACTGGATAAATAAATTATATATATTTGATGAGACCTCCAGAATTTTTTTTTATGTGAAAGCGAAGTAAACATTTCTCACGAATCACCTGAACCACTACAGTCATGTGTCTCTGGAATCACTGCGCAACATAAATATTTCCTACATATAATTCAAAATAATGAATCCAGTTTTGATAATGAAATGAAAAATTCTGGTTTATTTTCCTTTGAAGAAATACTGGTTTAGAGGATTTATACTTACTTTAGAAGAACAAATTTCACGGTAACATCGACTCACTACTTCTATTATTGACCAGTAAGTTTAAGTTTACACAACTATAGATTATATGTCAAAGATAAGATAGAAATTGATCAATCTCGCCAGAAATTTTCTTTCAACAATTCGATAGTCAAGTGAATTGATATGAGGAGGAATTGGGCCTTAATATATACTTCAATACTCTCATGATTAGTAAGATTGCAATGTCATTGGTTATTGCAATGAATTGGAATGGTATTTATGAAGTACGTCAAGTGCAGAAGAGAGTGTTTATATAAGAAACAAGTATATAAGGAAACACTTTTACATATATACATGCATTCATATATAGTATATGGAGTCGGGATAAAAAATTCGGGACAAACAGTACATCACGCAAATATCACTAGTTTTGTATATTAAAATATAATATAATAACATTATTTATTAGGCGATTAGAAGCGACTCTTTCATCACATTCTTCGAATCTGATTTCAGGAAATAATACTTATCTTCAAGAAGT